ATGTTTTATGACTCTCAAAGCCGTGATTCCCATTCACCTCCATTATATGACTGACAGACTGCAACGGTTTGAGTTAAAAATCTTCGTTTGTGTTCTACTGAAGAAACAAAGTCACCTACATTTTGGATGCCCTGGGGGTAAGCAGATAAACATCAAATTTTCATTTTTGGGTGAACTATCCCTTTAATCCTAAATTGCTTCACAGGGAAATGTCTTTCTGTTTTCCAGCAAGCTCCTGAAATCCTGAAGAATGGCTTGTGCCCTTCAATACTCACACCTAGCAAGAATTGTAAGCCTTTAAATCTTACAAAACCTGTTTGTTTCCTCACATAAATTACAGTTCTGTTGCATTAAAATGATGAAATTCACTCTGTTTCAGTCACCCGGAGATGCTTGCCCGCTCTAGAGACCTTGAAAGGTGGTGTAGTTGTGGTTGGCAACAAAACTACGTTCACAGATGATAGAGGACAAAATATAAATGCAACAGATCTCCTTGAAGCCTCAAAGTTAGTAATATTATTATTAGTTGTATTAGATTATAATCAGTGCTTTCTTAGTGTAATTAATATACAATTATAGTTTTGACTAATATTTTGAATTAGTTTTCATTTTAATTTTAGTTAAAGTTTTAGTAATTTTGTTGTCATTTTTATTTTTTATATATGTCTGTATACTTTTTATTAATTTGTATTCATTTAAAGGGGTCATATGACGTTGCTAAAAAGAACAAGTGTATTTGGTGTAATGCAATGTATTTATGCGGTTTAAGATAAAAAAAAAACACATTCTTTTCCATATAATGTACATTATTGTTTCTCCTCTATGCCCCGCCTTTCTGAAACGCATCGATTTTTACGAAGCTCATTGTCTAAAAAAGCGAGGTGTGCTCTGATTGGCCAGCTATCCAGTGCGTTGTGATTGGCCGAATACCTCAAGCGTGTGACGGAAATGTTACGCCCCTTACCATACTGTGATGCCGTCTCCCAGCAGGACGAGACTCAGTCCAGCTGCTCTGCTCGTGCACATCCCATCATCGGTTCTCTTTTAGCAGTTCAGTCAATGTACTGTTAGGAGTAACTGAATAACTCGGGATATTGGTTTATTTCGCGTCAGAGGGGGTGTCAGGCACGTTTATAAACCGAATAACTTAAGTAATTTGTGGATTAATGCGTACTGGAGACGCGAACCGTTTCAAACGATTCAGTTCGATTTGGTGAACTGGTTCGACCGGTTCACTAAGAAGATCCGGTTAAATAGAACGATTCGTTCGCGATCCGGACATCACTAGACGAGACAAAACCAATAAAACCCATTACAAATGAGGCATTTGTTGCATCCAGTGGGGACATAATTACTGATTATAATGACTTATACTGTCTTTTTACGCGTTGCGTTGCATTGCGCCGCGTAAACATAAAACCATGTCTGCATTTGTGATCGGAGAAACAACAAACATCATAGCTTTTGAATCATCATTGGCAAATTATTTAAATATAAAAAACATACTTACAGGCTGTGAGTCAGAA